GAAATAAATTACCAAGTTTCTTTGGGGAAGGAAAATGTTAGAAACAGAATGCTGAAGAATGTGCTCCTAGTCACAAGGAAGTTAGTCTCAGCTGACATAAAGGTTATTAGTTCTACAGTTTTTCAAGGAAAATGTGCCTCAGCTAGTTGATATGACTAGAGGTTGAGATGCTGAAGATATGACATGGAAACTGTTTCCTGATGGTTCTTGCTGGATAAGCTGAATCTAGAGGATGGAAAAGCCTAACATGTACATCCTAAATAGTGCATGCTAGGACTACAGCTCTGTATTGTGTACACAGGCAGTGGATATGAGTACAGGGACAGGGAAGTAACTCCATGGTGGAGCACTTAGCTCGTTTGCCCAAGTCCTGGGTTTGATTACTAATACTGCTTCAGGGAGGAGAATGTTTAGGAACACTGTATTCTATTATCTACCTCTCACAGAGCCATAATTCATACTTGGATATTAAAGGCTCTGAGAAACTCTATGGTAAACAAATTTGTTTAATCCAAAGATGTTTCCCAGATGTGCACTAATTTCAGGGAACACCTACATGAAGTACTTTGTGAAATCCTGGGATAGGGTGATTTCCCCAAAATACGAACTCATTTATTTAGAAACAAGAATTAGGCTAATAGTAGGAGAGCACTTGCCCAGGGCGAACACGGCTCAACTCACAGTAACATAAATCAAACAAGCACTGAGTTGACTCAGTGGTACAGTGCTTGTTGCTAAAGCATGAGTTTGAAGCCCCAGAATTCATATGAAGCCAAACAAAGAAGCACCTACTTCTTCTACTGAGAGTGGGGGGGGGGGGGGGGGTGGGGGCATAAGACAGACACAAAGTGCCAAGATCCACTGGAGTGGAGAGATGGCTCAGTGGTTAAAAGAGCTTCCTGCTTTTCCAGAGGACCTAAGTTTGACTCCTAGCACCCAAGTTAGGTAGCTCACAACTACCTATAACTTCAACTCCTGGAAACTCTAACTCATAACTTTATAACTAACACCTCCATATTTCCATATACATAATTTTTAAAAATTACATATACATAATTAAAAAAAATTAAGGTGAGGAATGGTGGTGCATGCTTTTAATCTGAGCCCTGAGGGCCGGTAGAGGGAGATAGGCAGATATCTATCAGTTCAGGCTAGAGAGTTCCAGGGAAGCCAGAGATATATAGTCTCAAATAAAACAAACAAGATTAGGCTAATATCTACTCTGAACATATTCATACGATACTCTCAAACCAACCAACAAACAAAAAATATTGAAAAAGTCACAGAAAAGCTGATGACCATGAGAAAAGGGTATGAGATTTCAATGTTCCATGGCATACTTAAGGGCAATCCATAAAGAGAATTGCCAGGACCTCCATCATGGAACATGTGGGAGGATTCTGGCGTTTCTACATACTATTCTCAGCAGCCTCAGTATACAGCACACAGTACATCCAACCTCAAGGAGACCTGAAGGGTATCTTTGGGAAAATAAACGTCGTTAATTATATTTCTTTTCCTTCTTTCTTCCTTCCTTTCTTTCTTTCTTTCTTTTTTTTCTCTCTCTGTCTTTCTTTTTCTTTCTTTCTTTCTGTTTGTTTGAGACAGGGTTTCTCTGTGTAGCCCTGGGTGTCCTGGACTCACTTTGTAGACTAGGCTGGCCTCAAATTCACAGAGATCTGAGTACCTCTTCCTCCCGAGTGCTGAAAACAAAGGCGTGCGTCACCACACCAGCTTAATTAGATTTCTAATGACAGCAACTTTCCTCATACCCCTTAATACTATATTAAGAATATAGTTTTCAATGTTATGGTTTGAATTTTAAAAATGTCCTAGGCTCATGTGTTTGGTCATGTGGTCCCCAGTTGCTGGTGCTGCTTTGGGAGGTTGTGGGGCCCTGGAAGATGAAGATGGATCAGTGAAGGTGGGCCTCTGGGGGTTATGGCCCTAACTGTGGTCCTTCTCTCTCTGCTTCTTGATCTGCTGTGAGAATCAGTAGGTGCAAGCCCCCACCACCAAGAACTAGACATTACCTGCCATGCCTCTCCCACAATGTCCTCTAAAACCATGATCCCAAATTAATCTTCTCTCCCTTAAGGTAGCTTCTGACAGGTTTTGTATCAGAGCAAAGGGAAAAAGAACTAATGTAGTTCTTTTTATGGTAGAAAAGGAAGAGCATGACAGTAAGATAAACCTTGGGTAGAAAGGAAGCAGAATAGGCACCAGGGCATGGGGATGAAAACCTCCATGTCTCTGGGCTTGGTCTAGGCCTAGATTATATACTAAGTGCAGAAGAGAAGAACAGGAGTCAACTATCACACCTGAGTGCATGCACTGGATAGACAGGGAGCCAGGAGGAAGACCTAAGAAAATCACTGACAGTGCGGAATGTTGGGGGCATTCCTATAATTGTACCCAGGATGCTCAGGTGGGAGGATCAGATCATCTACAGCTAGAGAAGAAGTTTGAGGTCAGCCTAGGCTGTGAGAGATGCAGAAAGAAAAAGAAGAGAAGAGAAGAGAAGAGAAGAGAAGAGAAGAGAAGAGAAGAGAAGAGAAGAGAAGAGAAAATTTTTTAAAATTCAAACCAAAAAGAAAAGACATAGTCACATGATGGTGGTGCACACCTTTAATCCCAGCACTTGGGAGGCAGAGGCAGGAGAGTCTCTGAGTTCAAGGCCAGCCTGGTCTATAGATTGATCCCCAGAACAGCCATGGCTACACCGATAAACCCAGTCTTGAAAAACAAACAGGGGCTGGAGAGATGGCTTACAGATTAAGAGCACTGGCTGCTTTTCCACATGTCCTGAGTTCAATTCTCAGCAACTACATGGTGGCTCACGGTCTATAATGAGATCTGGTGCCCTTTTCTGGTGTTCAGGCATAATGCAGACAGAACACTGTATACATAATAAATAAGTAAGTAAGTAAGTAAGTAAAGAAACTTTGAAAGAAGGAAAACAAACAAACAAAAAAGACATAGCATAGGTTTGGTAGCACATATCAGACCCTTTCTTAAGAAGAGAAGAAAACAGAACAACCAAAATGCAGGACAGGCTAGGTATGCTGGTGGCTTTATAATCCCAGCACTTGGCAGCTGGAGAGATGGTTCAGAACACTGGATGGTCTTCAAGAGGACCCAGGTTCGGTTCCTAGTGCCCATTTGGCAGTCCACAATTTCAATTTGGATCCCTGTATCCGATGCCCTCTTCTGTGGCCACTGCCTGTATCTGGTGCACAGGCATACAAGTAGGCAAAACACTCATAAATAAAAAATAAAATAAAATAAAAATAAATACCCATCTCTAGAAACAATTATCCTAGTACTTGTAAAGTTGAAGCAAGAAGACTGCAAGTTCAAGACCACCCTGTGTCTCAAAATCAAATCCAAAGGCAAAATCAAGCCAAAATAAAAACAAAATGACAAAAATACAAAGAAATTTTTGAGGATCACTGGCCAGCTGGGCACAGTGGTGCATGCCTGTAATCCCAGCACTTGGGAAGTCAGAGGCAGATATATAGCTCTATGAATTTGAGGACAGTCTGGTCTACAAAACTAGCCCAGGACAGCCAAGCTACACAGAAAATCTCTGTCTTGAAGGAATTAAAAAAAAAAAAAAAATCAAACCTGCTGGCTAAAATCTGCAAGGGAAGCACTGATGAAGTCAGGTGGCTACAAACAGTAAATTAAAACAAAAACCATTCGGGACCCAGATGTAACAGCATATGACTGTAACCCCAGAACTCAGGAGGCAGAGGCAAGTGAATTTCTGTGAGTTCAAGGCCAGCTGGGTCTACAGACTGAGTTCCAGGACAGCCAGAGCTACATAGTAAGACCCTGCCTTGAAAAAGAAAGGAAGAAAGAAAACACAGACAGACAGACTTGGGAGGCTGGGATATAGCTCAGTGTTGGAGTATTTGACCCTTTGACCAGAATGCATGAAGCCCTGGGTTCATCCAATATAGCAAGAAAGAAAAAGAAGGCAAACATCTGGAAAAATGAATATACTGAGCAAAATTAGGTTGAAGTACGTTTTTATGCACAGTAGTTATAAGCCCTATTACTTAAATTAACTGCTCAAAGATCAGGGAAACAGTGCCACCTGTGAGACTTTCTGCTTTCAAGGATGGATTTGGTTGTTTTGGAGTCCTGACAGCCCCAAATGTACTGTACATTTGAGGCAGTTGCTAATGATAAGGTTCTTTGGCGCCCCCTACTGTTCAAAACATGCTTGAGTCATGTCAATTTAATGATTTTTTAAGAAATTTAATACATATATATGTTCACTTGTGCACACATACCCCTCAACATGGCACAAATCAAAACCACAGTCAAACACACTTGCTTATCTTGAGTTCAATGGTCTAGAAGAAATGTTTCAGAAAAAGCCAAAACACATTATCCATACTCACCATCCAATCAAAACAAAAAGTAGTATTTTAGGGTTTCTTCACTTTTAAAAAAAGCAAACATTTTTGTTGTGCTTTGTTTTGTAGCCCTGGCAGGTCGGGAACTTGCTATGTAGACCAGGCTGGCCTCCAACTGAGAGAGATCTGCCTGCCTCTGCTAGGTGTGCTCTGTCAGGCCCAACCTACTAAACGCAAAGTTGATGAGGACCTTATACTTCCTCCCCTGGACTTCGATGACAACTGTTTCTCCCCAGAAATGTAGGTGTGCTGCTTCCCCGTACACTAGAAGGCAAGCCATCTCCAAATGCTTCTGTTTCTGACATATCCCTATTCTCCCTCCAAGGGCTGTATGTAAGTTCCAGTTCAGCCTGGGACTCCACTCAAAACAAAACAGAAGTATACAACACAAGCCTCTCCTTAGAGGCAGAGGAGGTAGGACTGAGTTGAAGGAGCCTGAGCTGTCACGAGTCTGTCCGAGAGAGTCCTTTCTCCTCATGTCTAGATTACTATCACCTGTCTTCAGTCAGGAGGATCTAGCACCTGTTACAACAGCAAGCAAGCATCTATACACAAGAAAGACTCAATACTTACCTGCTCCTGAAATTGCTTCTGAGACAAGCAATCAATTAGGTCTACACAGCCCAGAAGACAACCTGAAGGATAATCATTTGGAAATTGCACATCTGAATAGAAAACAAAAAGATTGGATAAATGTCTTCTTCGTAACCCTGGAACTGGGGAATCTGTTTTCAATTTCACCATTTGTTTGTACAAGCAAAGGAAAACAGTGAAATTTTTTATATGACACAACTGCTTGTATTTTAGCAAAAACCTAGCGAGTGACTAGCTGAATTTACCATCCACATGCTAAACTTTTACTATGGAAAACCTTCCATTTACCCTCAAGGTTTAAGGAATCTACAAGTTAATTCCAAACAAATTAATTCTAATGTACTCAAAGCCGGATAGGATTAGAGTTTGGGGGTGTGATGCTTAGCTTTAACTCTCAACCTAACCTACAATTACATAGGAAGAATCTCAATGAGAGATGTCACCAGTAGGTTGGCCTGTGGGGATGTGTGTGGCATGTGTACGGTGGGGGGGGGGGGGTGTCTTACAAGGTAACTGATGTAGGAGACCTAGCCCACTACAAGCAGCAGCACTATTCTCTCAGGAGGATCCCGAATTGCGTGAGAGCAGACAAATGAACTGAGGAACAGCCAGCTGAGCACCGGGCTCTCTGCTCTTGCCCCGGGATGTGATGGAGGACTTGCTTCAAGCTCTTGCCACAGTGACGTCCCTAAAATAATGGGCTGAAACCTGGTATTATGAGCTAAAACAAACCCTTTCTTCTCTAAGTTGGTTTGGGTTGGAGAATTTTATCACAGCCAAAGAAATAAAACTAGAACAGGAGGTACAGTGTTTTAGAAGAAAAAAAGAAAGAAATGTAAAGCAGCTATATGTGATGAGAAAAACCAAACATAAAAGTGTGATAAAACAAAAGAAGAATAAATGTTAGAAAACTAAGTTTAAATGAAGCCAGTCATAGCCACCAAAACATAAACATAAACATGGGGTTTTGTTTTGTTTTGTGAGACAGGATTTCCCTGTGTAAGCATGGCTGTCCTGGATCTAGCTGTGTAGACCAGGCTGGCCTCTAACTCAGAGATCTGCCTGCCTTTGCCTCCCATGCCCTGGGAAGTGCATCACCACTGCCAGTTCAGAAATGATTTTTAAGGAACTATATATTTTGACTCCTAGTGACTGCATCAGCTTGGTTTCTTACACACTTTCTAAGGTGGTTCTTGATTATCTTTTCCTTTGTCTTCAAATTATATGGATCAAAATAGGAGAAAATACAAAGGTTGGAAATTTTGAGTTGTTTTAATATATTTTTTTAATCTTAATTATATGTATGTATCTAGCTATAGGTACATGAAAGCAGGTGCCCATCTTGGCCAGAGGTGTCTGATCCCACCAGAGCTGGAGTCCCAGGCACTTGCGAGCTGCCCAGCTCAGGCACTGAAGCTGGGTACTCTGTAAGGACAAGTGTTCTTAACCAGCGAGCCATCTCTCCAGTCTCTCAAATTCTTTGTTTGTTTGTTTTTTGGAGACATGGTTTCTCTATGTAGCCCTGGCTACCCTGGGCTCAGTTTGTAGACCAGGCTGGCCTGGAACTCACAGTGATCAGCCTGCCTCTGCCTCCCTGAGTGCTGTGATTAAAGGCATGCACCTCTGGGTGCCCAGCTTTTTTCTTACTTTTCCCCATCTGAGATCCCAGAGAGTAGAGGAGTAACTTACTTTACATCCTCAATAATTAGATGAAGATTTTCTCATGTTACACAATTAAGATTAGTTGGTTGGCTGGGTGTGGTGGTGCTTGCCTTTAATCTCAGCACTTAAAAGGCAAGAGCAGGTGGATCTGTGTGTGTTGGAGGCCTGACTGGACTACATATCAAGTTCTAAACCAACCACAGTACACATAAGACCCTGTTTCAAATAAAATAATAAAATAAAAAGTCCTAGGGGCTGGAGAGATGGCTCAGAGTTTAAGAGCACTGGTTGCTTTTCCAGAGGTTCTGAGTTCAATTCCCAGCAACAACATGGTGGCTCATAACCATCTATAATGAGATCTGGTGCCCTCTTCTGACATGCAGGCAGACAGTGCATACATAATAAATGTTTTTTAAAAAATTCCCATTAAGCAGTTAAGAGCACTGGCTGCTTCTCCTGAGGACCTGAGTTCTCATTTCCTAGCACCCACATGGTAGCTCACAACCATCTATCTATAATACTTAGCTTGAGGGGCTCCAACACCCTCTTTTGCCTCCATAGGCACTGAACACACATAGTGTGCACACAACAAGCAGACAAAACTCATAATCTTTGCCACATGTTCTCACTATGTAGCTCTGGCTAGCCTGGAATCCATTATGAGGATCAGACAGGCCTCAAACTTAACTCTACCTGCCTCTCCCTCCCACACGCTGGTATTAAAGCTATGTCCCAACATGCTCAGCCTTGCATTTTCAGAGAACCTAATGCTTTGAACAGTCACCTATGACTTGTTACTTGTTACTCAACACCAATAGTCTTAGCCTATCATTTGGGAGGCTGACGCAAAAAAAAACCTGCCTTGAGTTTGAGGTTAGCTTCAACTACATACTGCGTTCCAGGGCAGCTGGGCTAGACAGAGAGACCCTGTCTCAAAATCAAATTAATGTAAAGTTTAAAAGTCTCTTTAATACAAGAAAGCCAAAGGAAGAAGGAAACAGAAGAAGATGAGCACTAAGGGCTTCTCTGCACAAACTGAAATTGAAAACCAAGTATGTATGTGTTATTACCTTTTCCACGAAGAAGACGATAGGTAGCCTGGAGTTCTGAGACTTCTTGAGGGGAAGGTTTTTTGCCTGTGGCTGCTATCCAAAGTCTTCCTCTGTGAGGAGTATACCAGGATCTGCCCTCCACCCTTAAACAAATACAAAACCAATGGGAAAGATCTAAATTCTAGGTTCCTTGAAGATCTCATAACATACAGCAAATCCTACAGCAAATTATCTAACTGGACCAAGAGATCTAAAGACTGTAACTCATCAAGAGGCTTTTTTTTTTGGGGGAGCAATACTTCTCCCACAATACCCTTCCCTTAAAGTTGAATTGAACGCTGTCAGCTGACCTCTCCTGTCATCACCATCATCAGTCATTTCTCTCAACTCCTACTTGCCACCTGATCTCTATAACTCAGAACTGTCACTGTCACTTGTTTTGGCACTTCTATACCATATGTTTGTAATTATTACATTTATTTATTTGTAGGAGGACACATATGACACATGGCATTTCTACGTAGTCTAGAGGATAACTTGCAAGAGTTGGTTATATTGTCAGGGGCCAGGTGTGGTGGCAGACACCATTAACCCCAGTAGAGAGGCAGAAGCAGGTGAGTTCAAGGCTAGCCTAGTCTACATAGGGAGTTCCAAATTAGGTAGGCATATTTAGTGAGACCCTAGACACTATGTGTATATGTATATGTGTGTATATGGCACATATGTTCTCAGAGCCCAAAAGAAGGTGCCAGATACAACAGAGGGTTCTGAGCCATCTGACATTTGTTCTGCGACCCTATCTTGAGTCATCTAAAAGTACAGCCAGGGCTCTTAAGCACTAAACCATCTCTACAGACCATTTTTTTTTTTGTACAGACATTTAATTATTTACTTAAGTGCATAAGTGTAAATGTATATGCAAATGGAGGTCAGAGGAAACCTTTTGAGAGCTGGTTCTCTTCTTCTACCATGTAGTCTCTGGGAATCATTCTCAGTTTATCAAACTTGGTAACAAGTGCCTTTACCCCAATCTCATTCTTATAACAGAAAACAGGGCTACGAGTTTTTTATATTCTTAGTTTCCTGATATAGATGAATTAAAAGTGTCAGATACACTGTCAGTAATTATTATGGGGAATAAACAAATGTATGTTTTTCCCTCTGGCCAAATAACCTGAAGAGTTGCTGGGAAAAAATGGTCCCCTAGGTGTAAAAGAATCACCCACTGATTCCTGAGGGTCAATGATTGTGCTATTCATCCTGTTCATTACTGTGAGCAAAGATGACTAACACAGAACCTGAAGAGGGGAGAAATGAAAGTACTTTGACTCCAGGAGCTGAGAAGGTTATGCTGTTTCATCTCCTACTTTGGAAAAGGGAGAAAGCAAATGTGAAGCGAATGACAACAGACACAGAAGCCCTGACTGTCCTTGAAGAGAAGCAGATTCATGTTTCTCTGCACTGACAGCACTGCACACATGGATATGAAGCAACAGAGCCAAAGCAAGAAAGCATGACCTTTGTTGGGAGAAAATGCCTGCTACACCTCAGTAAGTAAAGGAGAGAAATGACAGCTAATAGCAAAACCTGTGTGGTGCAAAGGACTAAGTCTAAATTTTAAAACATTTTCTTTCCACAAAGTAGAGTAATAACTAAAGCCTTAACAGGAGAGTACATGAACACTTGGAAAACCTCAAGTCTAGTTTTGTAATTTAGAGCAACTAGTTTATGTCTGCATTTGTCATCTGTAAAGTTAGTACCAGCCTGGGCTACACAGCTATTCCTTTAGAAACTAAAATTCTATTTTTAAAAAAGGATCTCTGTGTGTGTGTATGTGTAGTATGTGTGTTGTTTCTTAGGCATATAAAATTCTAGGAGATAAAAGGAAGAGAAAAATGAGCATGTAGTGTTATGATAAGTAAAATGAAAAACCCAAGCAAAATATATGAAACAATCTCTCTCGTAATAATTCATATAGGAGAAACAATAGAAATAACCGTGTCAAGCCAGACACAGCGGCACATACCTTTAATCCTAGCACTCGGGAGGCAAAGGCAGGTGGTGCTCTGTGAATTGGGAGTTTGAGACCAGCCTGGTCTGCACAGCAGTAAGTTCCAGGACAGCTAGGGTTCAATAGAGAAACTGTGTCTCAAAAGAAAAAGAAAGAAAGAAAGATTCCAAAGCACTAATGAATGGCAGCTAATAACTGTTTCTAGGTAGTGAAATTATATATGATCTCTTTCTACTTCTCTTTGTTCATTTTACAATCTTACATTTCCATGTATCCAAGTGAAGAAAAGGAGAGTTTAAAATATGAATTAAGAAGAAACACAATAAACCATGGACTGTGGTGTGGTGGTACATGTTTACAATTCCGCTCTCGGGGGCAAAAGAAGGATTTTGGCAAGTTTGAGGCCAGTCTGGGCTACATAGAGAGACTTCCTCAAAGACTGCCTGGACCAGGAATGTATTCAGTGGTCCTGGGCTTACCTAGCATGGACAAGCCCTTGAATTTCATACCTAGCACTAGAAAAAAAAAGAAAAAATCACAACAAACAAAACCCAACAACAACAGATGATCCTGGGGTGCAGGGCAACAGGAGAAGACTTTCCTATATTGTGTAAGGCTCTGGGTTCACCAAACAAAGCTTCAAATTACAAATAAGACCAAAGTATGAAGATTGCTGAACAATATATTAAAAATAAAGCCAAGAGTTTTTCCAATAGACTTTCTTTCAAAAATAAAAACACTGGTATTCTGGCTTTCTGGTGAGCATATAATCTTGTCCCTTTTTCTCTTTGGCGTACTAAGGGTTAATCCAGGATCTTCTAGACATTATGCAAGCATCCTATCACTAAGCTATACTCCAGCCCTTGATTTTACTAATCGTTCTGAGAAGGGATCTCACTGAGTTACCCTCCTCAGACTCCTAAATAGGTGAGATCAGAGGTATGTGTCATCATACATCCATTTGTTTCTAAAGCTATTCAGCCAAAAAAAAAAAAAAAAAGTTGACTGAACTTTCAAAATTTAATTAAAACAAAACAAGTCTTAAAAACCAAAACTGAAAAAAAAAACTAAAACAAAACCAACCAACCAACCAACCAACAAACAAAAAAAGAACCTATCATCAGTTTTTAAAAACATATTTATTTCACTCTATGTGTGTGCATGATATATGTGTGCTAATGTGCCTGGTGCTGCAGAAGCCAGAAGAAGGCATCAAATACCCCGATAACTGGAGTTATGGATAGCTGCAAGCCACCATGTGGGTGCTAGGAACCAAACCTAGGTGCTTTACAAGGGCAAGAAGTACTCTTAACTGCTGAGCCACCTCTCTATCCCCAAGTAAGTTTTTATATGTGTGTATATTTTAAATTGTATTTTCTTATTATTGCATATATGTCTGTGAGTATGTCAAGTGTAAGTAAGCACAGCATTGGTGCAGGTGTGAAGGTTAGAGGATAACTTTTAGGAGCTGCTTCTCTCCTTATTGAACTCAAGCCATCAGGCTTATGTCGCAAGTGCCTTTGCCAGCTGAGCCATCTTTCCAGCTCTCTTTTCTTTATTAGCATAGATTTTGCTAATGTACGTTAGGCTGGACCATAACTCACAATCCTCCTGTCTCTGCCTCTTAAATGCTTTGATTACAAGTCTGTGTCACCATACTTGGCCCTGTTTAAAGCTAATATGCACTGAATAATAGAAGTCATCAGTAGACAGGTACTAATAAGCATCAATGATAATTCTAACTCAAATGTGTATCACTCTAAGACCTTGACTATCAATTTTTACCTTTTAATCCCTCTGACAAGCAGGGAAGCCCAGGGCTGATGCATAGAGAGACACCAGCCGCCATCAAAGCCTTCCTGGAATTCCTGGTCCTGGATTCGCAGCTGGTGTTGATGTAAGCTGAGCGCTAGTCTTGGTCCTGCTGAGAGTGAAGTCTTCTTCTGAGGAGCTGAACCAGTGTTGTCTACCCACTGCACAAGACAGAACACAACAAAACACAAACAGTTCTGCTGACAAGGGAAGAATCTGGGGAAGGTGAACCAAAACAATTATGCTGGTAAAAAGAAATCACATGAGTTTTTTTTTTGAGAAAAGATTTCATGCCTTGAACTCAGTATGCAGCAGAGACTGTGAATTCCTGACTGTCTTGCTACCACCTCCCAAGTGCTCAGATTACAAGTTTATGCCATTGTTCGGGAAGCTTTTGTTTGTTTCTTTCAAGACAGCTTCTCTGTGTAGCCCTGGCTGTCCTGGAACTCACTTTGTGACCAGGCTGGTCTCAAACTCACAGAGATCCTCCTTTTTCTGCCTCCCAAATGCTGGGATAAAAGCCATGAGCCATCACTGGCTGGCCTTTTTTTTTGTTTTTGTTTTTAAGAAAAAATTACCTCGGGGGCCTGGAGAGATGGCTCAGAGGTTAAAATACTGGCTGCTCTTCCAGAAGTCCTAAATGCAATTTCCAGCAACTACATGGTAGCTCACAACCATCTATGAGATCTGGTGCCCTCTTCTGGCATGCAAGTGTACATGCAGATAGAACATTGTATACATAATAAATAAATCTTAAAAAAAGAAAAATTATCCCATCTTTAAAACAAGATCAAAAAGAGTTGAAATGTTATAAATTCTTAGAGGAGTCCCACACATGGCTACAATGTTGCATCATTTTGTTTGTTTTTTAAAATAGAATCTCACTATGCAACTCTACCTGACCTGGAAAATACAGGTTGGCCTTGAACTAAGAGACATGCTAACTGAAGCACTAAGAAAAAAGGCTGAACCACCACATCTAGTTCATTGTTTTTTGCTGCTGTTGTTTTGTTTTTAAAATTACATTTCATTCATTCATTTTGGGGATGGAGTGGGGCATGCATACCACAGCACCCACATGGAAGTCATAGGATAAGCTATGGAAGTAGATGTTCTCATGCCATCAGGCTTGAAGACAAGCACCTTTATCTCCTGAACTATCATTCCAGCCCAAAATGTCCCAACCTAAAGGATAAATACAATGCTGAACTCTCTACAATGCTACCTTCTTCTAGATAAAGCATAATGACTAAGACAAAAGAGTTATAATTATTTCCACTTTATACCTCTTAATGATCTATGTTTGATTCTGGATAATTTTCCAAGATGGGTTCAACATTTTAGTCTATAATTCTTCATGTCATACTTCAGAGTCTCATATTGGTACTACAGAAAGCTAAACAGGCAGTGGTGGCACACGCCTTTAATCCCAGCACTGGGAGGCAGAGGCAGGTGGATCCTTGAGTTCGAGTCCAACCTGGCCTACAGAGTGAGTTCCAGGACAGGATAGCCAGGGCTACACAGAAAAAAAAAAAAAAAAAAAAAAAAAAAAAACAGAGCGAGAGAAAGAGGGTGTTGGAGTAGCAGTTCTGACTATTGATCGAACAAAATATTCTATTACTCTGAAATGAACAACTTGCACCCTAAAAGAGAAGGTGAAACACTACTGTAAACAGGGTTTACCAAAGGGTACCAGATCTCATTATAGATAGTTGTGAGCTCCCTTGTGGTTGCTGGGAATTGAACTCAAGAACCTCTGGAAGAGCAGACAGTGCTCTTAACCCTATAAAAGGGAACAGAGAATCACAGGTATTCAATTCAATTAGAAGATGCAGGCAATTGTAGGAGACTAACAAGTTGTGGCAATAAAGAAAGATGGCTAATGCTTCTTTCAAAGCAAGAAGACCAATGGCTCCAAGATACTTTCCCCTAACCCAGCGCTGGAGATTAAACCCAGGACCTCATAGATAGTCAAGCACTCTATTACTCTATTACTGAATATCTATCTATCTATCTATCTATCTATCTATCTATCTATCTATCTAT